GAAATGCCTCTCCCTCTAAGGAACAAGGATGTTTGTCTCCCAAACAACAGGTCTCAAGCCCTGAGACGCCTCGCACAGCTCAAAGCGCGTCTGAAAAGGAATGAGAGATTAAGAAGAGACTATCTCGAGTTCATGCGAAAGACGATTGATGAATGTGCAGAGAGAGTTCCGGCCGAAGGCGGCAGACCCACAGGAGGACGTATTAACTATGTTCCCCACCACGGCGTCTACCACGCAAAGAAACCAGATAAGATTCGGGTTGTCTTCGATTGCAGCGCCGTCTACAGAGGCACATCATTGAACAAGAACCTTCTGCAAGGACCCGATCTGACAAACAGCTTATTGGGTGTTCTTTGTAGATTCCGTCAGGAACAAATTGCCTTTTCATGCGATGTGGAARGTATGTTCCACCAGTTCTATGTCGATGAAGCAGACCGAGACCTTCTTCGGTTTTTCTGGYGGGAAGATGGGAACCTGGACAGCCAACCGATTGAATACCGCATGAATGTCCATCTATTTGGTGCAGCAKCATCTCCCGGATGTGCAAATKTCGGTTTCAAGCAAGCTGCGAACGATGGAGAAATTGAATTTGGCCAAGAAGCTGCCAACTTCATTCGTCGAGACTTCTACGTCGACGACGGCCTCAAGTCTGTAGAGACCCCGGAGAAAGCGGTAGAAATTATAAGGAACAGTCAAGCCATATGCGCRAAGGCGGGTCTAAGACTTCACAAGATAAACAGTAACAGCAAGWAAGTTATTMAATCCATCCCAGTTGAGGACAGAGCTAAAAATCTTCAAGACATTGATTTCAACCAAGATCCTCTACCAATCGAACGAACTCTCGGTGTCATGTGGTGTATCGAGACGGATTGCTTCCAGTTTAGGATAATCCTCCAAGATCGTCCTCTAACTAGAAGAGGTATTCTGTCTACTGTTTGCTCAGTATTCGACCCTCTTGGATTCCTGGCTCCCGTGGTCTTGGTCGGAAAACAGATCCTTCAAGAGCTGTGTCGGGAAGCAGTCGACTGGGACGATCCCATAAGCGACAATCTTCGTCCGAGGTGGGAAAGATGGCGCGACGAGCTGAGTACCTTAGAAAATATCAAGATACCACGATGCTACAAGCCAAAGGACTTTGGCGAGGTAAAGCACGTTGAGATACACAATTTCTCAGATGCTAGTCAGAGTGGCTACGGGCAGTGCAGCTATCTTCGTTTGATAAATGATGAAGGCCAAGCCCACTGTGCTCTGCTGATGGGAAAGGCACGCGTGACGCCACTCCAACCAGTCACTATTCCACGCCTCGAGCTTACTGCAGCAGTGGTATCAGTCAAGGTTGGTCAGTGGTTGTGTCAAGAGCTAGAGTATCAGGACATTCAAGAAGTGTTTTGGACTGACAGCCAGGTGGTCCTAGGCTACATCAACAACAGCGCAAAGAGATTCCACATATATGTCGCCAATCGCGTTCAGCAGATCCATGAGCATACAGAACCCAAGCAATGGCAGTACGTGCGCACAGACTCCAACCCAGCTGATGCAGCATCACGAGGTTTGATGGCCAAGGAACTCTTAGAGCATGAGACGTGGTTCGGAGGCCCAGAATTCCTCCGCAAGTTTGGTCAACATGACGTCCACCAACGTGAAATCAATGAGCTCAGTCCTGATGATCCAGAACTCAAGAAGACAGTCACACTGACCACGCATACAGACGACTTCAAGTCAGGTCATCTTGAGACGAGCAGGTTGAACCGTTTCTCAAACTGGTTTACAGCAAAAAGGGCCGTAGCAAGGTGCATACGATACAAGAACCTGTTGAAGAAGAAGGCCAAGCTCAAACTGTCATCAGATGCCGACAGTCCAGATAATTGCTTCTACAGCGACCGCGCGATCAGCGTA